GCGTGGCAAACATTGGCTGTCAGGATGTAGGCGGGGGCAGCGTGACGAACTCCTCTCCTCTCACAGTCTGCCCTGAAGACCGGAACGGCGCGGGAACACGGCGAGAGGAACGCGCGGAGCAAAGGTAAGTGAATTGACACAATATGGGGAATGAATTACTATAGGGGGATGAAATTACTATGGGGGATGAATTACTATGGGGGATGAATTACTATGGGGGATGAATTACTATATGGGGGATGAATTACTATATGGGGGATGAATTACTATATGGGGGATGAATTACTCTATGGGGGATGAATTACTCTATGGGGGATGAATTACTCTATGGGGGATGAATTACTCTATGGGGGATGAATTACTATATGGGGGATGAATTACTATAGGGGGATGAATTACTATATGGGGGATGAATTACTATGGGGGATGAATTACTATATGGGGGATGAATTACTATATGGGGGATGAATTACTATGGGGGATGAATTACTATGGGGGATGAATTACTATATGGGGGATTAATTACTATGCTTACTATGGGGGAATATTACTATACTTACTATGAATGGCATGGTAGTGGCTGGGCCGGCCAGCAGCTAGTCCGGCCCCCGGGTCCAATATATGAACCCATTGCAGCCCTCAAGTCAAAAAGTTTGTCCACCCCTGCCATAGCCCATCTTCACGTGTCTTGCAATATTCCCTTGTGGGCCACAGTGGATCTGAAGGACTCCCACCCAATGCCACTTTCTTCTTTGCCGTGGCTCCCCCCTGTTTATCGCCCTTCACATCTTAGTCTGACATTAACACATATGCTTCGACCTTGGGACTCCATTAAATATTTTGCTGGTCTTATTTCTGCTCACTTACCCTTGATGCACCTATTCCGCAACCCATTGTATCTCCCGAGCCTTCACAATCCTGGGCAGTTTGTGGTGGCCAGCCTATGGCTTCAATGACGTACACTCCATGATTTCTCCTACCTAGATACTCACTTTTGCCACTTTGCGTTCTTCACGTGATATCCTGTTGAGGGAACATTTTAGCTACCTCCAACTCCGTCACTTTCTTACTACATTATTACGAGCCCATTCGGGTCCCTATAGGCTGACTCCCTTCGAAAGTCTTTGCAGGCACGGGCTTCATGCGCCAGGCTTGTTCTCCCTTGTCTACTCCGCTGTCATTTCTTATAGGACACCCCCTGGTTCGCTCTTATCAGCATTGGCAATCAGAACTTGGGGGTTGTCTAGATCAGCAAGACTGGCGGATCATGACTCAAGCATTGTCTAAATGCTCGAGGAATGTTCTTATACTAGAAAATGCCTACAAAGTCCTTTTATAGATGATATTATACGCCTACTCGACTGGCTCGCTTTATTCCCTTGCTTTTGGGGTTGTCAACAAATAGGTACCATGGCCAATATTTGGTGGACTTGCCCCAATGTATGCAGACTATGGATTAGGGTCTATGCCCTTCTCCGCACTATGCTACACACAGAAAGTAAGCGTAACCCACATGAGGCACTATTATTTAAACCACTAGTAGGCCTACTCCATCCTGAGCGGCAGTTAGCATTGCATCTATTTATGGCTACCAAATTGACGATCGCGAGAGCTTGGAAAACCCTTCTTCTTAGCTTTGAAGCCGTTAAGAATCGGATTAAATTTTATAATGGTTAATGAGAAGCTAATAGCTATGCTGCTAGACACCCACACTAAGTTTCTGCAGATCTGGCATCCCTGGATTGATGTGGCTCAACAGTCTAGATTTGACTAGACCCTCCTGTCGATATAAGATTCTCCTGATGCGATCCCCTGGAGCCCTTTCTTTGTCTTTACTATTCTTGTTTCTTCTTTCTCCACTTTTCTCTTTTCTTTCCTTTTCTTTCTTCTGTTTCTGTCAGTTTTTATGTTCCATGCGCTGATTGTGATACCCCTAGAGAATTGTGCCTGTAATGTCTTATACACCGGTCGGACTTTCTCCAGAGTCCTTGGTGTAGAGTTCCGATGTGCGTCCAGTGAGACTTCATGCTCCGCTTTTTCTATCATCTGTATGTGACTTTCGTGACTATCCTTGGTCTTTGCCCACCAGCTCATTGGTTACTATTTGCTGTTAACGTAATTTATAGGGTTTCATTCCATCCTTTTAGAGATTGTGTTTTTTTACTCCGTTTCTCCGTTTTAATATTTCAGTGCATTTGTTATGTCCTTCATCAACAGAATTGTACAGCTTACTTTTTGTGTGTCAATGAGCTTGTCACTGACTGTTTCTTTATTGTTGTGCTGTCTATAATAAAATTCATTGTAAAAGAAATTCTCCATGGGATAAATACTGGCCTGCGATCCTGTATCAGAGAACACTGACCTCCCACTAATTATTTGTATGACGTTGGTCCCCCTAGGTGCTCCCCTGTGACTCAGTGGGATATAAATCTGAACTTTTCAGGGTTTCCAAAACTATTCTTTAAACCATAAAGTTGCATTCCTTGTTGCCGTCACCACTACCAGGTGTATGTACCAGCAGCTTTGTTCTTTAACCCTTTTAAGTCTTGCACAACGTCAAGGTTGTGTTGGGGCCCAAGAACTTTTTTCCTTCTTAAGGTGGTTTTGACCTTTTACGTAAACCAGGATATTGTTCCTCCATCTGCCTGCCTGACTCCAATTCATCAGAAGATCTCCCCTCGTTGCCTAGATGTAATGGGTGTTGTGCAGGTATACCTTGCAGACACTGCTCACATTAGAAAGACAAACTCTTTGCCATTCCTGGTGGTCCTCATAAGGGGGAACCTGCTTCTTGTTTTGTTTCACTATGTCTCTGTAGCTTAGACAGACCATTATCAAGCTTATGGTTCAAAGGTTCTGGTTTTACCCTTTCCTGTCAAGGAACCCTACTAGATCTGAGTGCTTCTTGGACTTTTTGACATCAAGCAACTGTTTTCCAGATTTGTAACCTGATTTGCCACCTGGTCTTCTGTTCACGTGTTCTCTTTTACAGGTGGATGATCAGGTGTCTTCTATTGTCTCTTTCAGGCATTCAGGCAGCCATTTGAGCAGAAGGCAGTCACCAGTTCTATGGTTTTTAGGGGCCTGTTAGTGTTTTTGCTGTTTCCCACCCTCATTTGGACTGCTTTGCAACATCCCTACTGTCTTTGAATCCCTGTGTCCCTCAATGAACACTAAAGAAAATTGGATTTGTGCATTTACCGTAAAATCAGTGTAATACAATTCCCACCCCTCTGTCTTTGGTCATGCTCTTGGTACTGATTTTCTACAGCTCTCTAATGGCAGGTCACGTGTACCCCCAGCATATAGTATATTCTACAGCTCCAGATACAGTATACAGTATGTATGTCTCATAGCTGTGCTGGGTGACATTGATCAGTTTGTGAGCACTGTCTCCCCCTGCTGACCCACTGCTTTTACTGCAGTGTTCAGAATAGCTGCATGTAGGGAGATAGGTTGTGTTGGGTGAGACAAAAATAAGAAGATATGGCTCTGTCAAAGATGGGCCAGAGTGTTAGGAATAAATATCTATCCTTTTCACAACCTGTAGAATAAAGCAGCACAAAACATTTAGAATCCTGTATGGCAGACAGGTGTGATCTTGTGCTATACATCTCTCCCGTCTGTCTGCTATACATGCCTCCTCTGAGAGCTAAAGTGGAAATAATGGGGAGGAAATGATCACATATTACATGCTGTGCTGTTTTGCAGTTAGTGGAAAGGGACTTTGTGTTTATTGTCATTGCCCTAAATTCCTATGTAAAACCCAGTTGTTTCCCCCAACTAACATGGGAACTACAGAGGAAGGCTGGGCATTGTAGGGGATCCCCACAGTTTGCCACGTTTTCCAAATTGTCACCCAGGCACCAGTTAGGCCTGTTTACATGGGCCTAGCTTGCAACTCACGATCCATGGTGGATTGTGTTGTCAGCAGTGTCTGGCTTACGGTTATCATGTGATAGAGAGGGGATATGCCTCCTTCCACAAGCCCATTTGCAGAGGGAATTCAAACGGAAATGCCTCTTCACCGGGCCACAACCACATAGATTGAACTTGGTTGCGGCACGGTCCCATTCTTCTCTGTAGGGCACAGGGTCAGGTGGGATCACCTGCCAAATATGACATTCCCTATTTTTTTTTTTTTGCCAATGTGTATGGTGCTGTCTGGGGGCCATTGTCTGGTTTTGACATGCAGCTTGAGCAACGTAAGAAAAAACAAAATGTGTTTTTAACCTCCTGTTTTCGCCACTTTTTGGTGCTCATGTGAATGGGGCCTTAGGAAAAGTGTACTAAGAAAAATACAGGGGCAGACATTGTAGGTCCATTGCTAACTGTTTAGCCAGCCAGGCAGTTAGCTTACACAGAACATGCAAGAAGTCAAATTAGTATGAAGACAGAACTAATGAACTGTTATTTCTTTAATGGCATCCCAACATATCCTTTGAATCAGTATGGCAGCCAGGCAGTTAGCATTTTTAGAAACACACAGCATTGGCAGTTAAGGTATTCTTTCAGCATAGGCTTCCCTGAAAGCATCAGGAATGTACTACTCCATTTGTTCAGGGCCTTAGTGACCACCCATAGATACTTGCCTGTAACATCATGAATCCTCCCCCTCGCTCTATGGTCACAAGGATAGTGCTGCCTGCATTCAGTGATCCCTCGCAGAGAATATTTCAGTACTAAAATTCTTGAAGCCTAGATCAGTATTTTGCAGAACAGTTTCCACAAGCTTCTTATGTTTCTTCCAGCTCTATTTTAGGTGACTGGGCTGTACATTTAAAAAATTGTGCAGTGGAAAATATAATTAAAGTGAATAAAACTTGTAGAAAGTAAAGATTTAGGGGTGCCAGAATGGTGTGCACCATAAACTCCTACCTGCTAATAAGTATAATATGGGACTACATTACATTCAGTAGGTATCTTTACCATTCTTCACCCCTCTTTCTTGTCAGACCTTCTAGATAGAAATTGCTCATGGTGTTCTTTATGAATTTCAGGTGCAGCTCCTGAAGGACCAGCTTGCAGCAGAAACAGTTGCACGCATTGAATCTCAGGCCCGAGTCCGCCAGCTACTACTGACCAATCGTGACTTGTTACAGCACATCTCGCTGTTGGTGAAACAACTGAAGGAGCTGGAAATGAGATCAGACCTGAAGTTTTCTGGTAAGGGTCAGTAGATTGTAATGTTAGACAAGAGGTGGAGTTTATTATGTAGACTGATGGATATAGTCATGCAACTAGGCAGGGCTGCGCTTATCTGATGTCCCAGACCTGACACTTCCAGAGGAGCAGAAAATTGAAGGTAGAAAATCTTTTAAATACATTTTAATAGCAATTTACTGCACTAATTCAGCTTTTAGTGTAACGGTTCTTAAGCTCCTATTTCTGGAATGTCATTGGCCTGGAAGCTGTACATGTACATGCCATCAGGTGTAATAAGACTTACACATTATACTTAAAATTATACTGAAATTAAAGCAAACAGGTGCATTATAAGGGTGTATTTAACCACTTCAAGTCTGGACACTTTCACCCCCTTCCTGTCCAGGCCAATTTTCAGCTTCCAGTGCTATCACCATCTTTGACTGATAATTGCGCAGTCATGCAACACTGTACCCATATGAATTTTTTTGAAACAGATAAAACTTTATTTTGGTGGTATTTATTCACCACTGGGATTTTTATTTTTTTGCTATATAAATGAAAAAATCCAAACATTTTGAAAAAAAGTGTTTTTCTTAACACTTTATAAATAAATCTTTCTTCATAAATCGTGGCCAAAATGTATTCATCTATCTTTTTATTGAAAAAAAAAACCCAAATTAGTTTATAACCAAAAATTATAATTTTTCCAAATTTTTCTACTTTTTTTTTTTTTTTACACTGATTGCTTTTACACACAAAAAGGCTGTAAAAGCAATAATTTCTCCTTCTGTTTGGCTGCATTCTTGCAGCCATTGAGAAATACTGTGAGAGCTGTGATTGGTCACAGCTTGTCACGTGGTACAAGGCTGTTGTGAATAGCCTTGTACCATGTGACCTCTGTGATCATTCACAGATTTCACTAGTAGTAAGCAATGATGTCAGAAGTGACATCTTGCTTACTACTATTCATGTGATCACTGATTGGCCAATCAGTGATCACATGATTGGGACCTCACACAGAGGTCCTGTACAGCGATCGGTTTCCGGAGGACACAGCGGGCACCGGATCGCAGCGCCGTGCTCTGCCAGAAAACACGCACAGGCAGGTAAGCAGGAGGACGTTTATAAACAGCCACCGGCTCCTGCCATTTATGTACATGGGCCGGATGGAAGTGGTTAAAGGTGCACTCCACTGAAACGTGGAAATTGCACCTTGAGTAGCACACAAGGAGTTTGACCCAACCAGCTACAGTTTTACTGCACCAACCTCCACACTGCCTTATGTCTGTGTGTCTGTGAGCTGCTGGTCTGGGAACCCCTGCTTGTGATGCAGGAGAATTCCTATGCACATCCACTGCAGGCTGTTTTATGTATTGAACTGTCTGTTCTAAAATGTTCCTCACAGCTAACAATCACATCTGCCTTGGAAGACTGAATCTGAGAGGTAATTGGTAAGAGAACACACAGACTCCAGAAGCACATCCCCCCTCCCCTTCCATGAGTCTGTCTCTGTAATTTGAATGCAGTGGGTTATAGAAAGCTCAGATTAGTGTAAACTTAGTGGTTTAGCACAGTTGCAGTGTTGGATGTTTGCACTCTTTCCCATGTGTCACATAAGTCATTCTTTCAGAATATTCTTTTCTATCGTTTAATAAATATCTTTATACTGTATGGCAACAACGCATTCTTTAGAAATTTACAATTACAAAATAGTAAAGGAATAACACAAAGGTGGGGCCTGTCCACAAGAGTGTTCATTTTAAAGGGTAGAGGATGTTAGCCAAAGAGAAATGTTGGTATAGGACATACATACAGCAGAGGATATCTGTGAGGATGCTGTCCAAAGCCAGTTGAGTTTATGAGCTAATTAAAATATATAAACTGGACAAATTAATTCATATTTTTTTATTTTCTGTCTCTCACAGGCAATAATCACTCATTACATAATTTGGCCATTGCCCAGTCTCTCTCCCTGAACCTCAAGAACCTATACAGCCTGGAAATAAACCTTCCCACCACCTCCACACCTGCCCCATTGCAAAACAACTCTGCCGCCACATATGCCATGAACAACATGGGTGGTTCTTACCTCAATCTTATCAACCTGGAGAAGGAAAACGACCCCACAAGGGGAACTGATGAGAAGGAAGTGGTCAGTCGGAAGGTGGAGGGGTCAGAGGTCACTGAGGTTCCTGCAGACCAAACTGAGGAAGACAAGTAAGTGAAAACGAGAACCATTTGTGCACTACAGTTTCACATACCCTCTGGGATGTCAACACAGCAGCTTCTAAGACCTGGTTTACACAACCTGCGTTTTTTGGTGCTTTTTGCTGAAATGCACTACAGTCCATTTAACATGGTTTCCTATAAGACGTGTTCTTATCTATGCTTATTACAGCCTCTGCTTTTTTGGAAAGGGTCAGGGACTTTTTAAAATGCAAAATGATGCATTTTTGGTTCCATAGACTTCAATGAAGATGCTGGAGAAAACACATGTGGTGCGTTTTTGGCACATTTTTTATGTGTTTTGCATTTTTAATCTGCCGAACAACAAATTGGCTCAAAAAAAGCATAAGAAACGCAAAATACATAAAAAAAAAAAGCATGTGCAAAGACGCACCTCAAAAAGCACTGCAGAAACTGATCAAAAGTAAACTGCATAGGTGTGAAGCAGGCCTAATCAGTTTAGAGAAATTGTGGGCTTTTGTTTAATAACAAAAATGATTTGCTAAATTGCATTAGCAAATGTCAAATCATAAATTGTCTAACTGATTTGGTAGCTGAGGGTTATCGCACTGTGCATATAACTAGTTTTATATAATTTACTGAATATCCTTCTGTGGGGAAGGATGCTCAGTACTGAACTGGACAACATCAAAACCAGAACATTTTTCATTGGACACAATGGATACTATACAGTTTATGTCCACATGAACATAAGCTTGTGGTCAAATGAGCGATTGTGCTAAACACTGAACTGGTCCCCACCCAAGGTGAGCTCATTCATATCTGTTTTTAAGGAAAAACTCTGCATTTATATATCATCCATTTTACCTCAAGCAGGAGGACACAGTATCTGCAGTAAATACCGTACTGTACTGTATTTCATATAATAACGGTGTTAGGATTTAAGTACTGATCAAGGATGTGATCAGGGCTGCCATCAGGTGGGGACAGCCTATACATATGTGGGGGGCCCCGGGCCCCAACCAGGGCCGTTTTTTACGTGCTTTGGCAATATTGGTGTACTGAGCAGATTTAATGATGCAGAGGAGGGCAGAGCTGTGGGCAGATCCCCATGTGTGCAGGGAGGGGGTGGGGCCCGCTGTCAGGCAGGATAGCGGTGGATGGCAGCAAAATGCATCTTCACCTGTGTGAACAAAAATTATTTCACCGGCCCTGAACTTCTCCCTTGAACTTGCGCTGCCCAAATAGTTGCGACTTGCAAGGATTTTCAGTAAGCTGTCCAGAGATGGCTGTGTCCCGGCTAAGTCCCAAAAATCAGAGTTGTGGGTACAGCTGCAGCCCTGTCTGCTTTCTCCTCCAGCTTCTGCACCATACCCCACTGCTCTGCCTCTCTGAGGTATCAGCCAACAGACTTCAGCAGGGCAGGCAGTTTGAATACACTCCATGGAAGTGTTGGAGCTGTGGGGCTGCAGAGAGGGAGGTGAGCACGGGGACCAAGAAAGGACTGTACACGGAGGTATTTTACCTGGAACAGGGCTGTACTGAGGGTGCAGGAGGAATAAAAGCATTACAGAGGGAGGGGTTATATTATATACAAGGAGAAACATATGCAATGGCTGCAGATGGAAATGACTTAAAGGATGAGTGACAGCTCTATGCGTGGCTAAAAGGGGATTACCCATTAACGCCGATCCTTCCAGACCTTTATAATATGCCCCCTCTGTTTAGCAGGATAAATAAAAAGTTTATTAAATAGGAAAATGAAGAGTAACAGTGAAGTGCTAACCCAGAGCAGCCACCAGTTTCTTGCAGTTTGGTGAAAAGTTTTACAGTTTTCATGATCTAGAAGTGGATGCTTTGTATGGATGTTGCATTTCTTTCATCACCCATTGGAGGGCTCAGGGTTGTATTCTTTAATGTGTGGATTTATCGCTGCTCTAAAAAAACACAATTCAAAAAAGGTGTCAGCTCCTTCTAGTGGGTATACCCTTGTACCTACTCAGTAGCTCTGTTTGTCACAAACAAGATTTCCCAGCTCACTTACCAGCTAGCCTGTAAAAAAAAAAATAATAATGTTCAAAACAGAGGGTTTAGATGCACACATTTGCAAATACAGTCATGGCCAAAAATTTTGGCATCCTTGCATTTGTGCCAGATATGCAGCATTTCATCCAGAAAATTGTTGCAATTACAAATGTTTAGGCATTCTCTTGTTTATTTCTTTTGTTTGTATTGGTATGACACAAAAAAGTGGAGAAACAAAAACGCCAAATCTGACACATTCCACGCAAAACCCCAAAAATGGAGTGGACAAAATTATTGGCACCTTCTCAACATTTTAAGAAATAATTGCATTCCAAATTTGTAATTCTCCTGTAACTTGTAATTAAACTCCCCTGTATCAATTAACAGGTGATAACACTAAGTAAATCACACCAGCAACCAGTTAAAATGGTGAAAAATTGACTCAACCTTTCTGTGCTGTGGTGTGTCTCTGCGTGCCGCATGGAGAAGAGTAAGAGCAGCAAAGAATTGTCTAAGGAACAAAAATTGTGGAAAAGCATGGACAATCTCAAGGTTACAAGTCCATCTCCAGAGATCTTAATGTTCCTGTGTCCACTGTGTGCATTATTGTCAAGAAGTTTACAGCCAATGGCACTGTAGCTAGTCTCCCTGGATGTGGACGAAAGAGAAAAAATTGATCAAAGATTGCAATGAAGGATTGTTCGAATGGTGGATAAAGAACTTTGATCAACTTCCAGACAAATTCAAGCTTACCTTCAGGCACAGGGTACAACTGTGTCAGCTCGCACTATATGTTGCCATCTGAATGGAAAGGGACACTATGGTAGGAGAACCAGGAGGACCCCACTGCTGACAAAGAAACATAAAAAAAAAAACAGATTGGAGTTTGCTGAAACTTACCTGAGGAAGCCAAAATCCTTTTGGAAGAATTTGTGCTGTGGGCAGACAAAACAAAATTACAGCTTTTTGGAAAAGCCCATCATTCTACTGTTTTCAGAAAAAGAAATGAGGTCCTTAACCACTTACTGACCGCAGATAGCTGAATGATGGCTTCACTGCGGCCTGCCAGTTATGGGAGGGGGTCATATGACCTCCTCCCAGAACTCTCTCTCCCTGCGCGCCCCCTGGGGGTGCACACCCAGCGATCTCCATGATCGCCGTGTCCTACGGACACAACTGATCACGTGATATGGTAAAAGGCCAATCACAGCGGCCTTTTAGCACGTGATCAGCTGTGTCCAATGACAGACTGATCACCGGGAAATGCAATTGCCAGTTATCGACTTACTTTCCTCACGCTATGACAGTGTGAGGAAAGTACTGCCGAGAACTGTCAGTTTTCAGAGGAGGGATTGGCACTGATCATCAACGCACATCAGTGAAGGAGAAAAATTATCCGTTTGTAAAATTTTATAAAAGAAACAAAGAAACTTTTTTTTTTTTTTTTTGCAAATTGTTTACTTTTTTTTTTGTTATAGTGCAAAAAATAAGACGCCCAGTAGCGAGTAAATACCACCAAAAGAAAGCTCTCTTTGTGTGGAAAAAAATGATACAAATTTCATATGGGTACAATGTTGCATGACTGCGCATTGTCATTCAAAATGCGACAGCGCTGAAAATTGGCCTGGTAAGGAAGGGACTATAAGTGCCCGGTAGGCAAGTGATTAAAGAAAAGCATACAGTCCCTACAGCCAAGCATGGTGGAGGTTCACTCATGTTTTGGGGTTGCTTTGCTGCTTCGGGCACTGGATGTCTGGACCGTGTGCATGGCATCATGAAATCTGAAGACTACCAAAGAATTCTGGGGTGCAATGTAGGGCCCAGGGGTCAGAAAGTTGGGTCTCCGTCAGAGGTCATGGGTCTTACAGCAGGACAATGACCCAAAGCACACATCAAAAAGCACCCAGAAATGGTTTCAGACAAAGCGCTGGAGAGTACTGAAGTTGTCAGCAATGAGTGCAGATCTCAATCCCAAAGAGCATCTGTGGAGAGATCTCAAAACAGCAGTTGGGGAAAGGAACCCTTCCAATCTGAGAGACCTGAAGCAGTTGGTGAAAGAAAAGTGGTCCAAAATTTCAGTAGAGAGGTGTAAGAAACTTATGGATGGTTACAGGAAGCAATTGATTTCAGTTATTTTTTTCTAGGGTGTTTGCTACCAAATATTAAATTGAAGGTGCCAATAATTTTGTCCAGTCCATTTTGGGGGTTTTGCGTGGAATGTGCCATATTTGGCTTTTCACTTTTTTGTGTCATACCAATACAAACAAAAGAAATAAACATGAGAATGCCAAAACATTTGTAATTGCAACAATTTTCTGGGCAAAGTAGTGCATTATCTGACAGAAATGAAGGGGTACCAATATTTTTGGCCATGGCTGTACATGTGGAAGCCGCACTGCCTCGCCAAGGCTATATGTGCTATATATGAGAGTCTCCAAGTTGCAGCATATGTAGCAGTGAATAAATGAAAGGCAGGTATGCTTGAAGGGCACCTGAAGCTGAAGGCATCCAGTTTTTGGTGTGTTCCCACAGCAAATCCAGTGAGCAAGCTATACAAAAATGGCAATCACCCTAATTTATAATTAGCTTTTGCAGTAAGGTGCACATGGAAGGGCATTGCACATCACAAACAAAAGAGTTCCCAGCACACCAGCTACGCCTGCGAAAACTGCAAAGTGACCCTGTTTCTCATACTATGGTGTTGGGCCTATTTATCGCATACCAGGGATCATGGTTTGAATACATCAGAATACTTGAAGAGGTCATGCTGCCTTATGCTGAAGAGGAAATGCCTTTTGAAACGGGTGTTCCAACAAGACAACGACCCCAAACACACTAGTAAACGTGCAACATCTTGGTTCCAGACCAACAAGATTGATGTTATGGAGTGGCCAGCCCAATCTCTGGATCTTAATCCAATAGAAAACTTGTGGGGTGACATCAAAAATGCAGTTTCTGAGGCAAAACCAAGAAATAGAGAAGAACTGTGGAATGTAGTTCAATCA